CCTTCGGGAATTCATTCAACCCATAAATCTTCTCTCAGTAATAGCAGAATAAAGAATGGTGAAGTAGAGTGTTGGTACAACTTACGAGGCTGTCCAGGCTGTCCGTGTATCCAAAGAAATGAGAAGATATGGTGTAGAAGTGCTCGCGAGGGTATATGGGAGGAATTTGCACTCTCAACATTGTCAGATGAAGAGTCACTAATCTACTGTGGTCTGGTCACCCATATGACAACCACGAGCACAATGAGGCAGTGAGTGGCTATCATGATGTCAATGGTGGCAGCGAAAGCTATCATGCATTGGGAGCCAATTTCATCCAGGATTATTTCAGCAAGGAGGGAATGCCACAATTATCCACTGCTACTCTCCTATAAACAATTCTCCAGAAGAAAAGAAGAAGTAAGATTTCTATAGACAACTGCAAACAGCAAGGGATTATATGCAAAATGTCCAAAAAAAACGTCCGGATGGCCAACATCAGTGAAAGCGGATGTGGAAACAAACAAAAGATGTAGAGAATTAGTCATGGTTCGACAGGCCATTGCTCGGTAATTAAGTGACTGTGGAAAATTCTTCACAGGCTTCTGCTGCTTCTATGACATGCTGATAGGAGGTGGCACGAACAAGAACACGGATACGCGCAAAGAAACATAGATTTCAATTGATGAACACACCAAAAACAAGATGGGCTTCATCAAGATCTGAAGGAAATAGAGACGTAGTCATCTGCACATAAATTTGGGAGTTGGAGCATGTGTTGTCTAAAACCATCATCTATTCAAATGAACCTCGTAATTAAGCAGGAGTTTTTTATACAGACTTCCAATAGACCATAATTTTAGCTCTCCACTAAGAAACTGAGAGTCGAATCAACGAAAGAGAACTTCAGTGCCCCCATCAGAGGAAAGCTGGAGACACTACGTGCCAGTATTGAGGAAACCTGTGTTGAAAAACATTGGAGACATCTAAAGGCGATGTTCAGGAAAACGTGTACAACTGTCCTTGGAACAAAGAAAAGGCATAACCAACAGTGGCATCAACGGATATCTGAAAATAAGGAGATGACAGGTGGGTGGCGCAATGGAATATGAACTAATGCAAAATTTGACGACAGAAGGGGAAGCTGAGTTCAGTGTTCACTGCACTGACTAAAGAAGTGAAGAAGATTGTCTGGAAAGACAAGCAGACAATTCTGCGACACACTGTCTATTGAAGCAAAAGAGGCTGCAGATATATCGGAATTCGAAAAATTATATCAGATAACCACGTCTCTATCAGCGAAGTGATTAATGCAGATGAAATCGATGAAATATGGTGAAGGGAATGTAATTGCCTCGAGCCAGAAGAAGCTAGATTCACGAAAGGCGAACCATGTGCTGATCAAATTGCAACTCCACGCATCATCATCATGGAACAAGGCATAGAATGGCAGCCAAATCCGTACCTCAATTTCATCAACTTTGGAAAGGCCTTCGACAATGTTGACTGAGAAGTAATTTGGAAACTACTTCAACATTATTCCGCCTAGTGCCAAATACTTTGTCCACCTCATCCAGCATCTATATGAAAATGCCATATATCAGAAGATTCACAACGGAAAAGTCAGAGAGGACTTTGTAGTGAAAGCAGCAGCGACACACGGCTGCCGAATATAGTCAATGACTGTGATGGACTGGGTTATGCGTCAGATTCATCATTCTCACACCGTCTTTTCGCCTCATCGCTATCTTCTACAAACGGATAAACAACAGAGTGTGAGTTCTCCAGTTGACCAATTCATCGGGCATGCAGTCCGTCTATGCATTTTAAGGCGATGCTTCACGCTGTCTGATTTCGATTATTTCATGAAACGCAATCAGTTGTACACTGATGATTTCTCGAAATGGATGATGCTTACTGAACTGCCATGCGCTCACTGATAATGTTATTGACGACTGTGAACAATTATCACAGAGCGATAATATGAATACGAGGATTATGATTCCACTTGATTACAATTCATCCGTACATAATTCGATTGTTGAGCGCAGTTGTTTGTGTTTGTGATGGCGTTGATGTTGGTGTTGTACAGCGATTGTGTGGTGTATCAGTTGTATGTACTTTTGTAGTTGGTGATTCTAGTATTCTGTTGTTGTGAGTTAGTATTAGTCGCTTGTTTTGATAACGTTGGATACGGTAGATGTCTAATATAATTGTGATAGTACTATTAGTAATAGTATAATAATAGTCTGGTTTATTCCAAAAGAGTGCTAATGTTGCAGTGTAGAAATTCAAGCATTTGGTATGAAATCGCACCTAAATTAATCGAACAACATTTCATGGATAATTTTACAGGACCGTTAATGTCAAGGCATATTTGGTATATGCAAAGTCAGTGAAGTTTGACACATACAGAGAAGATTGAAAATCCCCATTGAGTCATATGAAAAAGAGAAGACATTCAGCGAAGAGATTCTTTTCGCCGAATTTATTCACATAGCTCACTTAAGAAGACCTTCTACGCAGCTGAACTTCGACTAACCTTCTCCACAAAACCTATGATTCATGTGAACGTGAAGGATAAGCTACCGCTGCTGGCCTCATCAATGTGCATTTATCAATTCACCTGCTCGTGTGGAGCCAGGTATGTCGGCCGTACCCAGCGCTCGCTTTCCAAACGTATCACCGAGCACTTACCAACATGGTTTTTCAAAGGAGAAAATCGATGCCTCCGCAGTTCTATCTTAGAACATCTGATAGAATCCGGACACCAAGCTTCACCGCAAACAAACTTTGAAGTCGTCTACAGAGTAAGGAGTAGTCTCCCTAAATTTGTACGAATCAGACTTCTTCAAACTGCAGAAGCAATGGCGATTCACTTGCTAAGTCCTGAACTCTGCATACAGAAGAAGTTCGTTCAATCACTACACTTACAATGGACGTAATCTATCTTATTAGCCGACAAGTAAATTCTACCTAATCTTTTCTTCTGTCTCTTCATTAGTATTATTTTGCCTTCTCAATTGTAATATTTTACATTCACTTTCTACACCTCATTACCACTGTTACTGACTTGAACATCGCTCAGTTTCTAGTCATTTATGTTACGTCATCCAACTTATTTACTCAATTTCATTTCTACTTAATCTCTACCTGTAATTACCTATATGGCTATCCTGACCTAAGTTGTAACATTTGAGTCAATTATATTACGTCACCTAGCTTACTAACTCAATCTTACTTTAGTTGCTGTCTGATTATTTTGTCTCTATACTACATCATTCTTGTATAAACTAATCGATTATCTAAACTTGACAAACCTCGTGTACACACACACAAATAATTATATATAAATGCGATTGTACAGCTATGTGAATGAATTCGCCGAAAAGAGTCTCTTCGCTGAATGTCTTTTCTTTTACATACAGAGAAAGCAGAAAGATGTAATTAATAATGTTAGTGGCAAAGATTGTCAGTGAGTTGAAATAGCGTCACCATAGAATACAAACAGGAGATAATAACAGAGCCGATTATTTTTCTGGCAACTTAGTAATTCATAAGTTTCACGTTTCACATTATCTCACAAAACACGGGCTAGCCAAATATGGTATTATTGAGTCCCTATGCTTGTCATCACGAGCACATAATCACTATTGTCAGCAGACAAATAAGCAAGTAGATGCTCGCCATTGTAGAGGCTTGTGCAATTCAAGTTCATAGACCAGGTCTCCGTGTACATAAGGAGATGGTTGTCACTCTGAATCTACCATGGTCATACGTTATACTTATTATTCTACCTCTTATTATTGTTGTTTCTTATTATGCTTGATTCATTCAAAATTATCCTTTATCATTGGCGTTCACTTAACTCACTTCAGCACTGTTATTATTATTATCATTGTTTTAACTGTTACTATTGATATTACTCTGCTTGCAAGTCTTGTTATATTCTCTAATGACTGATTGTTTATCTTAGTGATGTAATTGAAGTGTAATGCAATTTACCTGAATTTCGATCTGACATACTTCCTCCACCTGATCTATTTGAACATGACCTGGAAAACATTCGCACCTGTCTGTCTGCATTACTAATTCAATGTATTTTGTTAACTTATCAGTCTTATATCTCCCAGTGTAGTTTCAATCGTATATATATATTCGTGTATGTAGAGTATTTAGCTGACTAGTTCTATCGAAATTTGATGAATCCATTAAATCCTACTGTATTCAACTTTACTGATTGTTTTTAAGTTCACAAAAAGTGACTGCCCACGCTGTCGTTGCTAGTTATTATAACCAAGGATAAACATGCCATGTTGTCGTCAATGGTGTAATCACCCAGTCTATTATCCACTTGACGATGAGTTACCGAAAACACGTGTTTCAATAAATTGGGTTTACCAGTTGCAGTAATGCGAGCAGTTGAATTGATATTGGTTTAATCGTGGGCTTTTGTTTTGCTCTGTGATGCGAAATCCCACTTGATTTTGATTCTCACCCACTGAGTTGAACTCATTATTGAGTTTCCAAATACACTTGATTGTTTGCCTGTCATAATTTGACTCTGCTATTCCTCCTCACCCTATTCACCTCTCTATCATAATTTGACAAGTAAAATACGCTGGACTCAATTTGAGTCATCAATAGGACAGCGATTTAATGTAGTAATTTTCTGCACACACACCTTCAGCAAGATCATTGGAAACTGCCTCCACCTGGTTGCGTATTTAATGCAGTGTTCGCGGTATTGGAGAAGTGACAGCTTATCTTTTCTGAAGACAAAATGAATCGCTTTTCTCCGTGGCAGTTAGTCAATCACACATATCAATTATGGAAGTCGAATACTTCAAACCCAATGGGAAATTCTGACGAATTGCTTCATGTGCTCATGGTACGCTGTTTGGGTTGAAGACAATCCATGAGATGAAAGGAGCCCGTATCTCCCTTGTATATGCTTGTGAATTTTTACACACACTGCCACTATTGAACATTTTGGTAAGGAAGTCAAAATGAAGTCAAAATATCATTATCATTACTTTTATTATTATAATTAATATTATTATTACGTATATCACTACTACTAAAACTACGGCTACCAATAACTGTGAATACTAAAGTTTAATCAAGTAAAAGAAAATAGAAAAATCATGTTGTCTTCAAATACTTCTTGAATACAGTTGAATAGATGCGTCCATCTCACAGTTATGATAGTGCTTGTTGTTTATTCTGAAGACGAGAAGAAAGCAGGTAAACAATGGCGAATGAATGGATAATTTCAATGAAATCGAGGACGACGCTGAAGGAAATATAAACGCTTTTGTGAGTGAATCAATCAGCAATACCTTATATTTCCAGTTTTAAATGATTGAATTACTCAAATCGATTGTGCTTTAGTCCATACGCTGGATCACATGGTCAGTGCATTCAAATGTCGGCAAGACGTGTATTAGGCGCCTCAGTTAAGAGAATCATACCAGTAAACTGACACAAGAATCAAGCAGAAAGAAGCCAAAGCTTCTCATCTAATTATATAATACTGATTACTGAAATTTTCATTACACAATGTTTAGATATTCGTGAGAAGTGAGCATCTCATCTACTTGTCTCTAAACACCAACAGGACAATCAATAATCAATAAGGCATAAGATTTGTTGATGGCCGATAAACTAAAATTAGACTGACGTTTGTCATAGTGTGGTGCGTGGATTGATTCTAGTATATAAACTCACCTGCATATTTTTCAAAACGTTCTCATAAATTGACATGATTTCTATAATGAGAAGATGCATTTTGTCGTTAAAAAGGCTTACATGACGTTCAAGCATGAATAGACGCATGCGAGGAAACAGATAAAATGTTTTGAATCTATCGTTTCTAATCATCGAAACAAGTATCCTCAGTGAACGCAAAACACCTGAGTATGTAGTGATATCTCAACTCTGACTAGACGTTAACAAATTTTGAAAGCGCCTTGAAAAATATTTGACTCTGTATATAGTTCAACTTACCACCACTTGTCAGTTTATCAACTTCAGTCTTAGCCCTGTGCTCTATCCAACCACGTAGATCATCTGTTTCTGAAAAAGAAAGTAGAGTATAAACACATACTGAAATTAAATCATGGATAGACATGATGATTTGTGGACAGAGGAAGACGAAGAAAACATTGCTTATTTGGAAAACGGAAACATTGATCGAAGCGGTGTCTACCTATACATTGAATCCCTATCATCCGCTTTAATATAATATACGCATGATGATATGCATATATATATATATGCATGTCACACGACTTGCAGTAGGCAGCTGACTTTCGTGAACAGCTGACTTCGCTAGTTACATATTGAAGATGAATCGAATGGTTGGAGAGAATTAGCAACAAGTAACTCTGAGAACGAATCAACCAATAAGCTACTGATCAACAAAATGGAGATGGATCGAACACACGCTGAGGAGAGCATCGGTTGAAATCACGCTCAATGCCAGCAATAGCTAAATTGGAACCAAAGTAAGAAACGCAGAATTGAACATGTGTCCTAATGTGAAGACATTGATAAGGTCGTGCGACGAAGGAATTATAGGCTATTGGCAATCTTGAGGCTACTGACTAGAGCAGTGTGCAGTGTAGATATGCTGTTGAAGCCGTATGTCTGACGTGAAATCCAAACGAACGATACAATGATACAATCTTGGAAATCTAGTCGGTGGAAAATGCACTGGCAGTAGAATAATAAGGGCGAATAAGAAGACCTTTTTCTTTGTAGAGAATTGCTTCATCACTCGCGAAAAATGTAGTATGAAAGTCACTGTCAAATATTTGTCAGTCGAATAAATTGACAAACATCTTCCTGTGAAATATGAAAGATAAAACTGATGAAATAATCTTTCACAAAGATTTGACATGTTTCGAATTACCTTCAGTGCGTTCAATCGACAGATGCTTATCACAAACTGTGAAATCTAGGGGTTGACGAAGATTCACTAGAAAAAAAGAGAGGATAGTATTGACAGCATGTCATCGGTTACAATAAACGTAATATTTTTTGTTTTAAGATCACCAGTATTTAGTGATTTACCTACTGCTTGGATTGTCTAAATTCATGAAAATCAACACATACAAAGATATTACTTCTTTGTGAGAACATCTCAGATAAGAATGTGTGTCTAGGTCGTGAATTTTGCAAACATGTTGATAGAGTGAAAGTGATTACTGGTGAGTAAGCAATGAGCAACACATCTTCTCGGAGAGTGACCTGAGGTATGAAATCGTCACAGGGAATGGTGTTGATTCAATGAACTGCGCATCTTCTGATTAAGTGATGTGCACACTGTCGCTGACTAGTTCTCAGTTGCTCTGAACTCACCTGTGGACACTGTGATCGGATATATTCAAGCAATTCAAAATTACGTGCTCATTTACAAAAGGATTGTAGTTGTGTAGCATTAGAGAGTAATCCGTTGTTTTTATTTTTGACACTCTCAGAAATCAACCAAGTTTCAACACGCTGATACTGTTTCACAAAATGATGACACAATTGTACAAAATCAGTGCTGGATGTGAACTTACTGTCCAGTGACTGACAAATCCACTCAAATATCTTACAGATTAGCACATCTATCTTTCAGTCATTTGTTCATGCTATCAACGACAGCTGAGTTACCTTGGTAAATATGGTGGATTAGAACACAACGATGTTTATTTAACTTATTCAGACGAGTGAGAAGCCACAAGCATAAGTGAAACCAACTTTCTCAACCAATAATATTAGTGCTTACATTTATCCCCCATGTTTAGCGATTTATTCCATAGAGGATTATCCTGCGTTTTTATGTCGAAGAAACCCCCTGAATAAAAAAGAAGAGAATATTTGTTTACCGAGAAGCATCTGTCACAGTGATCCAAAGGAGCGAATTCAATGAATAATTTCACGTTTGTTTCGCCATCTGTCGAATACTGGTGGCCTATAGTTCAGTATTTTGGCAAATAAATCAACTACTGTAACAACAGAAGACAAGGGCCAGGCAACAGATCGTTTATTACGAAAAATACTTAGAAAATACAGTCTGTTGATTGGTTGTTTCTCACACAAAGTTAACCTTGCATCTCTTGTGGCTGTGTCAGATCATCTATATGTTAACTGTATCCGCCTGTCCACCTTGACCTTTGACCTCAATTACTGTCAATTAATTTGGCCAGCAACCATCTCTCACCACAACATGACTAATATTTGATACATAAACATTGACCTCAATTACTGTCCACCACTTGGCTAGTAGACAGCTCTCACCACACTACCTTTCCATTTAAGGATAACTGGTCAGAGATTCAACACTCTTATACTCTAATAAACCGGTTGTGGCCTGCTGACTGATAGTGAAATATTGCATCAGCACCTTACTTAAGCAGCTGAACACAGTCTGTCGCTTTGATGCACATTCCTCGACAGCAGTATTGTGACTCAACTGAATTTCTTACACAAATCACCTAACGACTCACCGATTGAGGTGCAAAGCGAAGAAAAATCAAACAGAATCCACTTTGAGTTCCAAAACTGTACTTACCATATGACGTAGTCACGTTTCGGATGTTGTATGCAAGGCCTAACAAAACAAGTGAATACACGACAAATTCAAGATAGACGAGAAGTGGGATACTAATATGTGATAAATTCGTAACCATGGGGTGTAGTATTCAATGAAACTATATAAATAACTAAACGTCAGCCCACATATATCTGTGTTTTTTTTTCAGTAGTGGTGTTAATTCAAAATTTATATTCAACGAAAAGTTTTGAATAGTCCTGTTTGCAGGTTGAAAAAATGAACAACAATCATTTCACATACTTCTGTAAGTCACCAGTAAGTAGTAGTCTTCAGAAGTTTCGTTCAGACACTTCACAACTAAAAGAACAATTATTTATCAATGTTGATTAAATTTGTTGACTTACACTCAGTGATCGTTGTACTACGTTTTGTGGCACGTGTTTCCAAATTTTCTGGAGTGGAAAAGAGACAAACAGTTTGGTGACTTGCCAGACATAAAGCGACACTGTTGACAATATTGCTCACTTTTAAACTATTGACATAAAAGCTGACGAATAAACAAACGACCTTATGGAACCATCAATTTCACTGTCTCCACTGATCCCGGGATATTGGTGTTTACACGCATTTGAACAGAATTCAACAACTACCTACTGCATGACCATGTACAAAGTATTCAGCAATACTCAGAGAATAACAATGCAAAATCACAGATTCACCTCAAAACATCGCGTCTGGTGAAGAAACCTGTTCCACTCTGTGATAAGTCAAACATTCGCATTATTTTTGAAGTGATTACTACTTCTACTACTACTGCCATAACCACAGAGTTTGAGGATCACACGCGTACTATTTAGAGGAAGTATCACTGAGACAACAAATTCATAGACAACATACAAAATGCAATATGGTAAGAAAAAGCAGGATTGTAAACGCACTTTGCAAAATTTCGATGTTGTACTGATCCATTTTCAGCCGGTCTATAGCTCCTTTAACGGACGCTGTAAAATAAGAATGGCAATGGTTCCAAAAATCACTTGATAATAACTGCAGGAATATTGATAATCTTCAATATAAAATCTAGTGATCAGCCATGTCGAATTAGTCTACATTCACAAAGAGTTTCAGTGTTATATGCTGCCTGCATATGCTTCCTCAACCACTTCAACTTCGGGGAGAGAATATGATCAATGATTCAAGCAATGAAAATGAAAATTTATTCAGCCAACATAAAGTTGATTATTTCATCAAATGTTAAGCAAATATATGGAATAAAGGAATATGTTGAAAAAAATGTACTTACTGTTATATTCTTTGATGATAAACTCTACATTCTCTATCTCTTTCTGAAGACTTTCCACATCTGCAAAAAATAACAAAATTAAAAGTCATTTGAGTGAATGAGGCTTGGTTGAATGCTATGGTTATTTCAGCTCAAAGAATGAGTGACATAGAGAGTATGTGTGCCAGCACGCGTTTCCTATTTTATAATACTGAATAATACTGGTTGATATGATCAATGACCAGTGTATCGAAAAGAGAATTTCCCACTTGAGATTACTGAACCATTCAGCTTGAAATATTTTCTCACTCATTCCACAAGAGCTCCTTTTCGGTCAATCCGAGAATCTGAGGTCTCAAGCCTAATTCAGATAGAAACTGACTAGGTTCGCACGATGACCACCTAGAGAGTGTGAATACTCTGTCTGACTACTTAATGTAATGAGAATTCAGCTTTTCACTGTTAGGAAAGTTGAAATGATTAATTCGATTTCCACATACCCACAGTGTTCAACTACTTCATGTACCACGTCCTTCTCATTTTGAATTACAATAAGTTGAATCAACTAATGAATTTCAATGCAGAATTCACATGATAATTCACCGTCAGACAATTTATTCTAGGATAGCCTCAAACCACCTGACAAACTTTGAGTTGTACAGAGAAATAACTAAAAGTTCGACAGTGTAGCATTCTCGAATAATCATTACTAATGTGGCTGGATATTTGACAAGCAATTTCACATTTCGAAAGAATTTACAAATTGCAAATAGCTGGATTACAACACACAGAGGAGAACGTGAATATTTCAATTACTCTTCAATGTGAAGTGACTCACTGTTGAAAATACTATCTGAATATTCTTCAAATAAATGAAATCAATAGACAAATTATTAATTAAAAATAAAATCAGTACTAAAAGATAATCATTCACACCAATCACATGGTCGACATTGAGAAAGAATCATTCCTCTATTCTTTTGTAGGGAGATCACACAAATGCTAATCTTGTGCACTGAATCTACATTCAGCACGTGTTTCAAACTGATTCGACTCAAGATGAGTTTGTAGTCATAGAATGGACATCATCAATAAACGCAGTATATGTAAAAGGTATGAATGAGATCTATGCGAATTCGTGCTAGTGGTATGTGTTAGAAAAATGACAAGATTGGGTTGACACATTGGACCTCGAGTTCATCAAAAAATTATATTCATATCGACACCTGATAGATCTGATAGAATGGAGTGTTGGTTCAGCTATTCGCACAAATCATCGATTATCATGCAGTATATAAGCAAGCAGTTGTCGATGACATTTCAGAAATGAATAGAATTTCCTCATGATAGTGTTGAGATATACGTGCAACATGCAGACAGTGAAAAAGTGAAGTTTTAATGAAGATACATGCAAGAGACAAATGAATGCGGTGATTTCCAATGATAACAGAGAGAGAGCGAACGCTGTGAAAATCTGTGTTTGCTTGAAATCTGATGCATCTATAATACAATTTATTAAAGAATGTATTATGCTTACTGTCCCCAGGACAGTTAACGAATACGAAGAGGAAATTTTAATTATTACTGTTGCTTGTCTGCAATAAAGTCGGATAATTCAAGTAAATTTCACTTTTCAGTATTCGTGTATGTTGTGCCACGCTTCACTGAGTCAAAAGTTACAGCATAATATGCTTCCATAATAGCCTAAAACCACCAGCTGACAAACTATGAGTCGTAGAGAGAAATAAACAAAAGTTTGACAGTGTAATATTCTCGAATAATCATTATTCATGTGACTGTAGGATATTTGGTAAGAAATTTCACAATTCAAAAGAATTTACAAGTAAGAAACAGCTGGATTATACAACACACTAAGGGGGAAGTGAAAATTCCAATTACTCTGTAAATATGAAAGCACTCACTTTCAGTTCGTCCTCTATAGACTTCAGCCGGTAAAATTCCGAAACCTTCACAAAAAAGGAACAAAATAAACCAAGAATTTAATGAGAGTATGAAAGATTCATAATCATTCATCTATTCTTTTGTAAAGAGATCACACAAATGCTAATCTTGTGCACTGAATCTACTTTCAGCACGTGTTTCAAACTGATTCGACTCAAGATGAGTTTGTAGTCATAGAAAGGACATCATCAATAAACACAGTATATGGAACAAGAATGAATGAGATCTATGCGAATTCGTGCTAGTAGTATGTGTTAGAAAAATGACAAGATTTGATTGACCCATCGGACCTCGAGTTCATCAAAATCATATTCATATCGACACCTGATAGATCTGATAGAATGGAGTGTTGGTTCAGCTATTCGCACAAATCATCGATTATCATGCAGTATATAAGCAAGCAGTTGTCGATGACATTTCAGAAATGAATAGAATTTCCTCATGAAAGTGAGGAAATATAGAAGATAAATGGACAGAACGAAATAAATTGAGGTTTACCTGATAATGGAGAGGCAAGCAGTAGAAAGAAGAACCCCGTGAATGCCAAACACAGAGAAGAGAAAGCCATGATTATGTGTAAAGAAAGAAAAAACGATGTATTTATACCAAAAAAAATGTTTAGTAAAATGACCTCAAAATAAAAAACAGAAAAATGATTGGAGAATAAAATGAAATTTATGTTTTCTGATTTACAAGTATTCATGGCGTGATTATCACTTCTTTAAATAAACTGAACTTTATCACAGAACGTAAACAATTTTCTTTAAAGAAGGCATAATTAGTCAGAGAGAAAAGGTAAACTATGTCTCTCATTATACGGTGACAATAACAGCAGGTTATGTGAAGGATACAGTTTCACCTTAGAATAACAGACTACTTGTAAGCTGACGAAATAAGTAGCATTTCAGTGACAAGTGTGGTGAGATGCATGTAAATACGAAGATAGTATGCAATAGATGAAGACGATGAGTGATCACAATAGGAGGATTCAGTGTGAGGAGTGACGTTGACCAGTTAGTGGAAAGCCGCTTAACGGACTTGTTGGCTGGCCAGTAAACATAGACAGTGTGCGCTTAAATAGCAGAAAGGAAGACTATAGTTAGCAGCTCATCAAGGAATAATCAATATTTGACAGCAAGATTCCAAACGACAGGGAGTAGAAGTGGTGGCAGGGTAAAAACGATTGAATGTTACGCGTGTGCGAGCTACTCAGAACAAGAGAAGAGGGAAGATTCGTAAAGACAGCTGAAAAGAGTTATGGGTAATATCCGAAATGGTGACATGATTGCTATACTGAGAGCAAACAACATAGATTGAAGAGATCTCGCCAAATTATATGAGTATGGAGAACTCTACACAGACATATGAGAATTCACTGATTCGGTGGTTTGAGGCGGCGTGTTTAAGCATCAGGATGCTCACAACTCGACATAGGTCTCACCAGGTAGAGAAACAGAAAATCAGAGAGGTCTCGTTCCAATCTTAAGAAACTGGCGGTGTAGCCTACTGAACACAATATCGGTAAGAGGAACAGATGTCGTCTCAGACCAATACGTAGTGTTAGCAACATTTAAGATCAGGTTGAAAGACCTCGATATGAAAGCCTTCATGATCAGTCATCTACATTGACAGTCATGTGTCTGTAGACAGTCAGGTCATAATTTTCGCAGCATCTTATTCTCTCATTTTGTCGAAAAGTTGAGTTTATTGGAAAATTTCTTCAGAAAAAATGAACGAAGAGAAGAGATTGGCATATTTCCTGGTACTTTTGTTTTCTCATATACACGTACTCATGGCGTGATTATCACTTCTTTAAATAAACTGAACTTTATCACAGAACGTAAACAATTTTCTTTAAAGAAGGCATAATTAGTCAGAGAGAAAAGGTAAACTATGTCTCTCATTATACGGTGACAATAACAGCAGGTTATGTGAAGGATACAGTTTCACCTTAGAATAACAGACTACTTGTAAGCTGACGAAATAAGTAGCATTTCAGTGACAAGTGTGGTGAGATGCATGTAAATACGAAGATAGTATGCAATAGATGAAGACGATGAGTGATCACAATAGGAGGATTCAGTGTGAGGAGTGACGTTGACCAGTTAGTGGAAAGCCGCTTAACGGACTTGTTGGCTGGCCAGTAAACATAGACAGTGTGCGCTTAAATAGCAGAAAGGAAGACTATAGTTAGCAGCTCATCAAGGAATAATCAATATTTGACAGCAAGATTCCAAACGACAGGGAGTAGAAGTGGTGGCAGGGTAAAAACGATTGAATGTTACGCGTGTGCGAGCTACTCAGAACAAGAGAAGAGGGAAGATTCGTAAAGACAGCTGAAAAGAGTTATGGGTAATATCCGAAATGGTGACATGATTGCTATACTGAGAGCAAACAACATAGATTGAAGAGATCTCGCCAAATTATATGAGTATGGAGAACTCTACACAGACATATGAGAATTCACTGATTCGGTGGTTTGAGGCGGCGTGTTTAAGCATCAGGATGCTCACAACTCGACATAGGTCTCACCAGGTAGAGAAACAGAAAATCAGAGAGGTCTCGTTCCAATCTTAAGAAACTGGCGGTGTAGCCTACTGAACACAATATCGGTAAGAGGAACAGATGTCGTCTCAGACCAATACGTAGTGTTAGCAACATTTAAGATCAGGTTGAAAGACCTCGATATGAAAGCCTTCATGATCAGTCATCTACATTGACAGTCATGTCTCTGTAGACAGTCAGGTCATAATTTTCGCAGCATCTTATTCTCTCATTTTGTCGAAAAGTTGAGTTTATTGGAAAATTTCTTCAGAAAAAATGAACGAAGAGAAGAGATTGGCATATTTCCTGGTACTTTTGTTTTCTCATATACACGTACTCATGGCGTGATTATCACTTCTTTAAATAAACTGAACTTTATCACAGAACGTAAACAATTTTCTTTAAAGAAGGCATAATTAGTCAGAGAGAAAAGGTAAACTATGTCTCTCATTATACGGTGACAATAACAGCAGGTTATGTGAAGGATACAGTTTCACCTTAGAATAACAGACTACTTGTAAGCTGACGAAATAAGTAGCATTTCAGTGACAAGTGTGGTGAGATGCATGTAAATACGAAGATAGTATGCAATAGATGAAGACGATGAGTGATCACAATAGGAGGATTCAGTGTGAGGAGTGACGTTGACCAGTTAGTGGAAAGCCGCTTAACGGACTTGTTGGCTGGCCAGTAAACATAGACAGTGTGCGCTTAAATAGCAGAAAGGAAGACTATAGTTAGCAGCTCATCAAGGAATAATCAATATTTGACAGCAAGATTCCAAACGACAGGGAGTAGAAGTGGTGGCAGGGTAAAAACGATTGAATGTTACGCGTGTGCGAGCTACTCAGAACAAGAGAAGAGGGAAGATTCGTAAAGACAGCTGAAAAGAGTTATGGGTAATATCCGAAATGGTGACATGATTGCTATACTGAGAGCAAACAACATAGATTGAAGAGATCTCGCCAAATTATATGAGTATGGAGAACTCTACACAGACATATGAGAATTCACTGATTCGGTGGTTTGAGGCGGCGTGTTTAAGCATCAGGATGCTCACAACTCGACATAGGTCTCACCAGGTAGAGAAACAGAAAATCAGAGAGGTCTCGTTCCAATCTTAAGAAACTGGCGGTGTAGCCTACTGAACACAATATCGGTAAGAGGAACAGATGTCGTCTCAGACCAATACGTAGTGTTAGCAACATTTAAGATCAGGTTGAAAGACCTCGATATGAAAGCCTTCATGATCAGTCATCTACATTGACAGTCATGTGTCTGTAGACAGTCAGGTCATAATTTTCGCAGCATCTTATTCTCTCATTTTGTCGAAAAGTTGAGTTTATTGGAAAATTTCTTCAGAAAAAATGAACGAAGAGAAGAGATTGGCATATTTCCTGGTACTTTTGTTTTCTCATTTACACGTACTCATGGCGTGATTATCACTTCTTTAAATAAACTGAACTTTATCACAGAACGTAAACAATTTTCTTTAAAGAAGGCATAATTAGTCAGAGAGAAAAGGTAAACTATGTCTCTCATTATACGGTGACAATAACAGCAGGTTATGTGAAGGATACAGTTTCACCTTAGAATAACAGACTACTTGTAAGCTGACGAAATAAGTAGCATTTCAGTGACAAGTGTGGTGAGATGCATGTAAATACGAAGATAGTATGCAATAGATGAAGACGATGAGTGATCACAATAGGAGGATTCAGTGTGAGGAGTGACGTTGACCAGTTAGTGGAAAGCCGCTTAACGGACTTGTTGGCTGGCCAGTAAACATAGACAGTGTGCGCTTAAATAGCAGAAAGGAAGACTATAGTTAGCAGCTCATCAAGGAATAATCAATATTTGACAGCAAGATTCCAAACGACAGGGAGTAGAAGTGGTGGCAGGGTAAAAACGATTGAATGTTACGCGTGTGCGAGCTACTCAGAACAAGAGAAGAGGGAAGATTCGTAAAGACAGCTGAAAAGAGTTATGGGTAATATCCGAAATGGTGACATGATTGCTATACTGAGAGCAAACAACATAGATTGAAGGGATCTCGCCAAATTATATGAGTATGGAGAACTCTACACAGACATATGAGAATTCACTGATTCGGTGGTTTGAGGCGGCGTGTTTAAGCATCAGGATGCTCACAACTCGACATAGGTCTCACCAGGTAGAGAAACAGAAAATCAGAGAGGTCTCGTTCCAATCTTAAGAAACTGGCGGTGTAGCCTACTGAACACAATATCGGTAAGAGGAACAGATGTCGTCTCAGACCAATACGTAGTGTTAGCAACATTTAAGATCAGGTTGAAAGACCTCGATATGAAAGCCTTCATGATCAGTCATCTACATTGACAGTCATGTCTCTGTAGACAGTCAGGTCATAATTTTCGCAGCATCTTATTCTCTCATTTTGTCGAAAAGTTGAGTTTATTGGAAAATTTCTTCAGAAAAAATGAACGAAGAGAAGAGATTGGCATATTTCCTGGTACTTTTGTTTTCTCATATACACGTACTCATGGCGTGATTATCACTTCTTTAAATAAACTGAACTTTATCACAGAACGTAAACAATTTTCTTTAAAGAAGGCATAATTAGTCAGAGAGAAAAGGTAAACTATGTCTCTCATTATACGGTGACAATAACAGCAGGTTATGTGAAGGATACAGTTTCACCTTAGAATAACAGACTACTTGTAAGCTGACGAAATAAGTAGCATTTCAGTGACAAGTGTGGTGAGATGCATGTAAATACGAAGATAGTATGCAATAGATGAAGACGATGAGTGATCACAATAGGAGGATTCAGTGTGAGGAGTGACGTTGACCAGTTAGTGGAAAGCCGCTTAACGGACTTGTTGGCTGGCCAGTAAACATAGACAGTGTGCGCTTAAATAGCAGAAAGGAAGACTATAGTTAGCAGCTCATCAAGGAATAATCAATATTTGACAGCAAGATTCCAAACGACAGGGAGTAGAAGTGGTGGCAGGGTAAAAACGATTGAATGTTACGCGTGTGCGAGCTA